AACTTTTTCGACTCGATGGATAGGTCCCAGTATCGAGATCGAGCTAGTCTTACACGGTCTTACTTACTGTAAAAATCGACTAATGATAAAGGTCGTGTTGCGGGAAGTGAAAACAGACACCGCAATACGATGCCATATGTTATCTAAGTGTCATTGTTCTTGTTCTGTTATGACGAAAGAAATAATGAAGATACTTACTTAGAAGGAAGAAATATTGAGGGAACTGTTTTAGGCAAACTAGGAAAAGATTGTTAGACATAGCCCTCAGGAAGAGTTCTCAAGAAATGTACTTCCTCAGGAAATGTGTTTTCTCAAGAAATGTGCTCCCGAACTAACACCTGTTCTCTAGAAGTTGTTCAACTACTCTCACAAATTGGGGATATTCCTGTCCAACTGGAAAATTGCGAGAGTACAACCAGTTCCTAAAAAGGACAAAAAGACCCTACCTAGCAACTACAGACCGATCGCACTGATATATACTATCATTAAAAGATCATGGAGAAAGCTATCAACATCGAGCTCATGAAATACCTGGAACATTCAGGTATTATCAACGATAGGCAATATGGCTTCCGTCATCAGAGATCAACTGGTGACCTGCTCGCTTACGTCTCACATATATGGCAGTAATCTATTGAAAAATATGGTAAAACCTTAGCCATGGCACTTGATGTCTCTAAGGCATTCGAGAGAGTCTGGCACCACGGACCTCTCGCCAAGCTTCCATCTTATGGCTTGCCTCCCCAGCTATGTTCTCTGCTAGCTAGTTTTCTCTCAAACAGGTCTCTCCATGTACTGGTCGAAGGAGTTTCACCTGACTCTCTTACCATGAATACTGGTGTTCCGCAAGGATCAATTCTAGCACCAACACTATTTCTACTCGATATCAACGATTTGTTGAGATCACCTTCATGTCCAGTACACAGTTTCGCGGATGATAGTACCCTCCATACCGCCTTCTCTTCCAGGGCTCCAATACCAGCCAGGTATCAGAAACAAACAAGGAAGAGATGTTAACATCATAAATATAAACAATTCTCGAATGGGGATCCAATAACTTGGTAGATTTCTATGCAAACAAAACACAAGCATACCTTTTCTCTAGAAAAGCCGATCTCACTGTGCCAAACATAAGCTTGTCAGGAGTTACCATACCTTTGATTACATCCATTTAGATGCTTGGTATTACTATCAGCAATAACCTTTCTTGGGAAAATCACGTGAGATCGATTGCTTAAAGTGCATCCCAAAAACTTGGTTTTCTGTTTCGTGCCAGGAGCTATTTCACTTCCAGTCAGCTGCTTATGATCTATAAGGCACAGATCCGACCTGTCCTGGAATACTGTTTCCACATTTGGAGTGCAGCACCCAAACATACCCTGAAACTGTTGGATTCTGTCCAAAAAAGGACAATTCGTCTCGTGGGTGATGCCTCGCTCACAAACTCACTCACTTTTCTGGAACACCGTAGAAAAGTTGGCGATCTGGCTCTATTTTACAGATATAAGTGAAAGAACAATTTCAGTATCTTCTTCTTCTTCCAATTCAATGCCAAACGTAGTATCGTCCGCATACATTATGGTTGATGTGTTTATAAAATTCATAGTTTAAGGGAGATCATTTATATAAATCAAGAACAGAAGGGGACCCAAAACCGATTCTTGCGGTACTCCTCTCTTCACAGTAGCTATATCACTTCGTTCTTCGCCATTTACTACGATTCGCTTCCTTTCATGTATAAGTATGACTTCAATATGTCTAGTGCTTTATCACGTATTCCGTAAAAGTTGTTCAAGTGATATACCGGGTGACACTGGAGATATGTAACAGTCTATATAGATTCTTTAGGTAAAAAGATGAAATTCACAAGGGTTATATTATCGATGATGGCGCTTCCCTTGAATCCAATGACATTTTTTTTCAACCACCTGTTTGATTGGAAGTAGACCCAACTTTTTTTTTTCAAATGGCACCCTGTTTATTTCTGTAGTCAATCGAATTCGCCTTGAAATTCTTTATTCAACTATGTATCACAATTTGATATTTGTTCATTCATCGGCTGTTAAATTGCATTTTATTGAAATACATGAAGTTGGCTGTGGCCCAAATTCAATGACATTTCGATGCTTGATAGGCTTAGAAATCCAAAGATCATCACTTAGACGATATTATCAGAATATTTTTCATACCCTAATCAGTTGAATGTTTGTCTGATTGCCACTTGGTCACAAATACGTAGATATGACAGGTTTAGATTACATGGAAAATGTATTCTCTATTTCATATTATGGCGAAGGAGCGCTATATTAATCACGATTTCATGCAAAAATTTCGAAGAGTTCTTCGTCTCCAGTTACTATCTAGTTGATCTCAAATTTTTCGATGGCGATGTGTCTATAGTTGTTGGGCAAGTTTTTCTTTCTTCAGCGAAACACGTGTTGAGAGAACTTTCCTCTCAGTGTTCGAATCTTTACTTAATTTTTATCATAACATCCAAAAAACAAATTGATTCTTCGAAGCATTACACCAACTAATTCTTGATCACTGATTCAGAATGATGTATCACAGGGACAGTACTGAATAAGATTATTTGACCTTCGTTTGTATCAACACACTACAATCACAACATGTTGTACACTCGTCTTCAGTGAACATGTCGCGGTTGGACGGTATGAGCGCTTTTACTGCATCAGTGATTAAGAGAGCTGACACCGTCCATGTGCGACATGTTCTCTGAAGACGACTGGACCTACTCAATCATTCATCACTTCAATTATTGATTTTCCTTCATCTTTGTAATTGATAGTCGATTTGTTTAGTATAAATATCTGTATGATGAGATATAACATATCTGTGATTACTGTTTTTGGGTTAGCCCCGTTTGTATTCCTTTTCGTAAATAAATAAATTAATAAAATAAATATAGGCAATACAACAGGTTGATCAATTTCTCATAAACGGCATCAAATTGAAGATTGAAGAATAACAATTTCTCATAATGAATAACATACACGCGATAAAAATTCCCATGCTGGAGAATAAACGGTTAACTAATTTCTCACTATAAACAATTATATATAGGCGTGTACAGAAGTCCGTATAATAGTCTTCCATCACGATATAACAGTAACCTTTCAATTAACATTGAATTGTAAATTTAAGGAAAAAACGGATCTACTAGTTTTTCATTGTCTTATCAAGTTCCATTGCAGAATTCTTGAATATTCATTCATTCATTCCACATTACTACCAGAATAATATACCAGTTATAACTCTGTATCGAAGAAAGCGAGAGCAGCATCTTAGAAATGAGATTCGAAAAATAGATGTATAGAAAGTCATATGGTGTTATCACTTCCTATTGAAAGGAGTTTCGTAATCTCTCGATATCGCCTACTTTGTAATAATAGCGAGGCGTGGGAGAATCTTGCTAAATTTCCGAAGTTTCGAACCAAATTTACAGGCATCATGACACATATTCATTTGAGTTCACATTTTCATTTTCACAATTTTTTATGTACCTAAATGGAAACGGTGCGTTATATTTTCGACTTTCAATGGTGAATTCATGAACGACACGAAGTCCTAACTCGAGAAAATTCTGTGACAATAGTTAATTTACTCACTTTTGGTATATTTTCGAATAATCCTCACGCATTGCAGCAGTCAGTCCATGATGAAAGCACGATTCACTCACTCAACTAATGTTATAATATCAGTACCTGCTTCATAAACTACTAATACTCTTATTTTATAATATTTCTATTTGGAATTGGAACAAAATTTTGAATATGCTGAAAACATGACACTCGTGACAGATATGTCAAAATCAAGATGTTTCCACACGCCCTGTCTCTTCTGCGTCCTGTGTATAGATGCATTTCATCAGCTATAATTGAATTCGTGCATCTGCAGGTTTGCTATGTTCTCTGCTAGCTAGTTTTCTCTCAAACAGGTCTCTCCATGTAGTAGTCGACGGAGTTTCATCTGATTCTCCTATCATAAATGCTGGTGTTCCGCAAGGATCAATTCTAGCACCAACACTATTTCTACTCCATATCAACGATTTGTTGGAAGCAACTTCATGTCTAGTACACAGCTTCGCGGATGATAGTACCCTCCATACCGAAGAAGAAATGTTGACAACATGAATATGGACTTGGCAACAATTCTCGAATAGTGATCCAATAACTTGGTAGATTTCAATGCAAACAAAACACAAGCATGCCTTTTCTCTAGGAAATCCGATCTCACTGTGCCCAACATAAGCTTGTCAGGAGTAACCATACCTTTGAAGACATCCATTTCGATGCTTGGTATTACTATCAGCAATAACCTTTTTTGTCAGCTGCTTATGATCAATAAGGCACAGATCCGACCTGTCTTGGAATACTGTTCCCATATTTGGAGTGCAGCACCCAAACATACCCTGAAACTGTTGGATTCTGTCCAAAAAAGGGCAATGATTCGTCTCGTGGGTGATGCCTCGCTCACAAACTCACTCACTTCTCTGGAACACCGTAGAAAAGTTGGCGATCTGGTTCTATTTTATAGATATTTTCATGGACGATGCTCTCCTGAAATATCAACAATCGTTTATCCCTTGGCAGTCCCCACGAGATTAACCCGTCGAGTTGAGGCTTCGCACCCCTTCGTCGTCACTTTGGAGACCTGCAGAACATCTCTTTCCAAAGACTCGTTCATCCAACGAACAGCGAGGCTCTGGAACACATTGCCAAGGGAGGTGTTCCACGAGGCATATAACCTCCACAAATTCAAGAAGAACACCAATTCCTACCTCATTTCCCTTGGTTCTCACGATGTTCTCTGAACATTACAGGATATCCCTTTTCGTGGGAACCAGAACATAAAAAATGTAGTCACTCGTTATCTACCATTTTGGTTCATTTCATGAACTATTGTGGTATTGACTTTGAGTTTCTCTTCTTTGTAGACATCAAATGGTAAATTAGAAAAATAAACGGATTGACTAGTATTTATTGTTTTGTCAACTTTTATTTCTTAAATCTGAAATATTCATTCACCATTTATCAATAGTACAACCAGAATAATAATACCAGCATATAAGAAATGAGACTCTAGAATATAGTGGAGTGCATGGACTCTTCCGCGAAGTACTTCGGCTGCGCAGACTTCCAAGCCGAAGCGAACACTTCATCGGGCGACCTGGCAATCCTAACGGTCTCAGCAAACTCGGGCAATGCCACCAAGTACCCAGGGAAGTAGCTGGGCAGCTGCGTACCCCTCAGCTGCACCCTGCTCGCGTACTGCACCGGATCGCTGTCCACAATGTACTCCATCCCGTGTGCCATCTCCTTCTCCAACTCTCCAGACCTAGAGTGGGTAGATTGAATAGCGTGACGATAACAGACCTCCAAATGGCTGCCGTTTCCGGAGAGCCATTCGTGGTCATGTCACTGAATAGCGAAAAATCTGAAGGGTATCTCACATGTATAGTAATGAGTTTGCGCCTTCGAAGTGCCCACTTGATGTTAGATTCGGATATTTGATATTTTCATGTTTGATTGTTGCATGTTTTGTGTTCAAAGATCAAGAAACTGAGACAAAGCATTGACAAAGTGAAATAGAATGCGTAAAGCTGAATGGAGCAAACAAAAGACAGGTGCACACACTTCCATATTAGAGGTCTACTACTGTCGTCTGTCTATTTAGTGATATTCTTTCGTTCTGTACTAATTGAAATCAATCTCTTGTAGAAGTACATATTTGCTCAGAGTGGAGTGGAATTTTTCAAAGGGAATAAGAAAATCTCAGTAATCTCAGTAGTAATCTTAGTAGTAACCTTAGTAGTCGATATGACTTTGAGCTTTTCTTCTTCCTTTTGAATTACTTCATTTATTGAACTGATCTGAATCAGTTGAGATGCATTCTACCGAATCTAAAGGTCATCGAAAGAACGCATGTTAACTGACTCAGTTCATGTCTAGTGAAATATTTCAGTTAGTTCAGATTGAAAGGATATCACTTTAATAAAGTCACCGTCTAGGGCTTCGCGAGACCAAGACGAAGACCAAAACTCATCAGTCTTAGTCTTCGTTTCGAAAAATAAATGTAGTCTTGGTCTTGGTATTGGTCTTGATGTTTCGAGACCAAGATGAGACTGGTTTGATCTTGGTCTTGGTCTTGGTCTTGGTCTTGGTCTTGGTCTTCTTGGTCTTGGTCTTGGTCTTGGTCTTGGTCTTGGTCTTGGTCTTGGTCTTGGTCTTGGTCTTGGTCTTGGTCTTGGTCTTGGTCTTGGTCTTGGTCTTGGTCTTGGTCTTGGTCTTGGTCTTGGTCTTGGTCTTGGTCTTGGTCTTGGTCTTGGTCTTGGTCTTGGTCTTGGTCTTGGTCTTGGTCTTGGTCTTGGTCTTGGTCTTGGTCTTGGTCTTGGTCTTGGTCTTGGTCTTGGTCTTGGTCTTGGTCTTGGTCTTGGTCTTGGTCTTGGTCTTGGTCTTGGTCTTGGTCTTGGTCTTGGTCTTGGTCTTGGTCTTGGTCTTGGTCTTGGTCTTGGTCTTATTGAATCAAGACCAATACAAGACCAAGACGGGACTCTTGGTCTCGCGAAGCCCTAAGTGACCCTATCCAGACCTATCCAGAGCGTCCAAGTCGTAGGGGTCCAGCACATCCGCCGGTTCGGCTCCGATGACGTTGACCAAGTGCTCCAGGTTGGCGTTCACCCAAAGAGATCTCTCGTTGACGATCATGGGAAAGGCTTTGGGCTTGTTCTTGCCCTTGCTGGGACTCTTCTTAGCGTCTTCCATCACCTGAGCGAATATGTCCGTGTGGGGGATGTATTCCGCCTCGGAGATACCTGTAATGAACGGGAATTTTGAACAAATTCATTTCGAGAACTCGAACTAGGAAGTAGAAATTGGGAAGTCTCCTTTTTTATGTTCTGGTTCCCACGAAGAGGGATATCCTGTAATGTTCAGAGAACATCGTGAGAACCAAGAGAAATAAGGTAGGAATTGGTGTTCTTTTTAAATTTCTGGAGGTTATATGCCTCGGGGAACACCTCACTTGGCAATGTGTTCCAGAGCCTCGCTGTTCGTTGGATGAACGAGTCTTTGGAAAGAGATGTTCTGCAGGTCTCCAAAGTGACCACGAATCTCGCGGGGACTGCCAAGGGAGGAACAATTGTTGATATTTCAGAAGAGCATCGTCCATGAAATTATCTATAAAATAGAGCCAGATCGCCAACTTTTCTACGGTGTTCCAGAGAAGTGAGTGAGTTTGTGAGCGAGGCATCACCCACGAGACGAATTGCCCTCTTTTGGACAGAATCCAACAGTTTCAGGGTATGTTTGGGTGCTGTACTCCAAATATGGGAACAGTATTCCAGGACAGGTCGGATCTGTGCCCTATAGATCATAAGCAGCTGACTGGAAGTGAAATAGCTCCTGGCCCGAAACATAAATATATCTGAGAATATTCCTTTTCAATACTTTCACCCGCAATCAAAGGTGTTCAAACTTGAACGATGCGAACTTGTTATTTTTATAGACCTCAATCGCAGATTCGTGATTAGGTTTTCTCAATTCAGAATTTCTTTCCACGTCCTGTATGATGAATATCAATTCATTATACATCCAAAAATTGATATATAGTTATTTATTATACAAGGGAAAAAAGTAGTAGATTTTAGCTCCAGGTTGTGTTGTCTCCCGACGCGTAGCGGAGGGAGACAAAAAACCGTGAGCTAAAATCTAATATTTTTCCCGTGTATAATACACAATTTTTTTCTGTGACAGAAGGAAGGACGAATCAATATTGAGAAGATATTACATAATTTCGAAATCTGAAAATTATCGACGTGAAATTTCAAGTTTTTAAAAGTAGGGACACCTGCGTTTTATAGACATCTTTATCATTCTTTTGAAGTAATCAAATATCTGATGTCACTTCTGTCAGTTCAATTCTGTGATTTGATTTTAAAAAATTGCGAATTCAGTAGTTGTTTAGTAATATACGAAACCGCGAAGTCGAATGGAAGATAAAAGGACTTGCAGTTCTTTCTCGGAGACAGTATTATTGACTCATTTTTCGGAACTATAGCACAACAAAAGCCATTAACAGAGTATATATATGTGATATATATCCGGGAAAGAAGTACTCACTTTTTTCCCACGGGAAAAAAGTAATTTATGAAAAGTGACATTTCATAACCTGCCAACAGAGATGAAATGCCAAACTTTTTTCCCGTCACAGAAAAAAGTAATTATTGCTCAAAAGACAGTACCTTGTGCAGACTGTATTAACTGTGGATATTCACCCGGTTTGATAGTCAGTGTAGTGTACATCATCAACAATGTATAAACAAATATCCAAGTACCGTTGAATATAGATTTATGTATTTCTTCTTCCTGCCCAAATATCCACGAACTCTGTGAATTGAGTACCTAACTTTGTAAAGTCCCCTGTATAAGCCAACCAGAGAAAAGTCGGGCTCTACATACCTTCCAAGCGATCGGCTAGCTGTCCCATCTCCGCAGACACTATTTCCGTGTGGACGTCCTTGGGCACCTCTTCCGTAGGCACCACCACGTCCTGCAGCGGCCCTGGAGTGACCGAGCTAAGTTTGATGAAGTGCTCGTTGGTGGTTTCGGCAAACAACGAGTGGAAAACCTCATCGGGATCCGCTTGGGGGGTAACTCCCGTTTCTACTGTGTGCATCACGGTGGCCATGGCTTCGGGAGATGGGTCGGTCTGAGCCTCATCAGCTGTGGGCTCTGGCTGGATGATCGACTGCTCCAATAGCGCCATGGATTCGGAGTTGAGCCTCATCTGCTGCAGCCGGGATTTGAGCTCGTGTCTGCCCGGAGTCAGGTCGAGGTCTGGTGGGATCATCTTCAAGGTATTCTCCACGTCTTCCTTCTCTTGCTCCACCAGTTGGGCCACCATGGCAGGATCCAAGCCCGCTCCGGTGTCCAGAGGCTGCGTTATCGTCCTGAGAGCTTCCTTCTCCACTGTGGTGTAGGAGGCGGTGACGGATACTGTGCTGGTCACTCCTACGACTTCCCTGCCTTCGTCCATGGGATGAGAGGGGTCCAGCTGTTGGACGCCCAGCTCTATTTGCTGCATTTGGCCGGTGGCTTCGTCCAAATCGGCGACCACGAGGTTTTCCACTATCCTTTCGCCTCTTGTGTCTCGTTCGACGCGTTGTTCGAAGACTGCTTTCTGCAGGACTGGCTCTGGACCCATGGGGGTTTGTATCGATGGGGGCCGGAGCCTGGATATTGTTTTACCTTAAAAAAAGAGAATTATTCGAGATGGGCTATGATTCGATAATCTTCTCGCGATTTCACTCACCTTTGGCAGATACCTTCCCTTCGGGTTTCCCAGCTGCAATATTTTGTAGATTTTCGCGTACACGCTGCTCATTCTGGCTCTGTGACGGTTTTTGTGGTCTAACTGGAATGCTAGGCCTGGCCAACTTAGATTCCCTAACACCTCCAGCTATACCATGAGGCCTATAACGGAAAAGATTGGTCGTTTGTATACAGTATATTTCATCTACGGAGGAATGCCAAACTGCACCAGTAGCAAATGGATTGAAATTCCTTCAGAAATATACAGAGCTTCCAGAGAAAGAAGGCTTCCTGAACCTTCACTTACCTAGAAGGCATCGGTGGTCTGATTTGTCTCTGCCTTTCTACCCTTTGAGGCGCCGGCTCACGTGGAATTTGGACATTTTCAGGAGTTCTATACGCTATCTCCTGCTGAGGAGGCGGAAGAAGTCTTGCTTGGGGAGGTCCCGCAGGTGCTGGAGGAAGTCTGGACTGCGGTATACCTTGAGCTGACGGTCTGGCTGCAAAGAAACGTCGATTGTTCAAGCAGAAGGCTTGGAGTTTGGGGTCACCTCCACTTACCAATAGCTCTTGGAGGCTGTAAACCACCCACTGGTGCGGGCTGAGGCAATTGTCTAGGGGCGGGTATTGATCGACCCGCAGCAGGTCTAGGTAAACCGCGTGCTGGTATTCCAGATTGCACGGGTTGGGGAAGGGCCCTTGGAGGTTGTGATCCAGGTCCAGGTATCGGTCCTTGTCTTAAAGAAGAAATGTTGATCAATTATTTAATCAGTCAGGATACCTGACAGCTATATTTGACGATAGTAGAACCGTATAAATTCCGTATATGACAATCAGGTCACGATAGAAGGTACCAGTATGTGATCAGATTGAAATTTGGTTTCTTCTGACATGAAGAGTGGACTTGGTGGGAATGATGGTACCAGACACATATATTAGACATACTGAGTTCTGCCTTTCTAGAGTTCTGGTGGCGTTGAATTCAACTAGGTTGTTGGTTCACTAGGCTGTTATTTCTGCAAAATTTTCATTGACATAGTTGACCCCGCTTTTTTTTAATCGCTTGGAGCGCACGAAAGGGAATCCCTATAATGTTCAAAGAACATCGTGCGTTCCTAGGGAGGATAGGGACAGGAGGTAGGTATTGGAATTTTTTTTAACTTCTGGAGATTATATGTTGTTGGGAATACTTCCACAGGCAATGAATTCCAGAGCCTAGCCGTTCTATGGATGAAGGAGTCTTGATAAAGTGCTGTTCGACATCTTTCGAGGTTGACAACGAAAGGATGTGCTGACTGGGCTTGTCTAGTTTGTCTGATTGGTATTGCTAGTGAAGAGATTTCCGAAGAACATTTCCCGTGGAAGTATCGATAGAAAAGTGAAAGGTCGCCGACCTTTCTATGGTGTTCCAATGATGTCAGAGAGTGAGTGAGTGTGGCGTCACCCACCGGGCGAATGGCAAGAGCCTAGAGAATGGAGAAGGAAGAATGAAGAATACCATTATCTCCGAAGTTGTGGATAGGACAGAAGATCATTGATATGGAGTAGAAACAATGTTGGTGCCAAAAATGATCCTTGTGGAACGCCGGAATTTTGATGGCTATATAGTTTGGTATAAGACTCCGTCCACCACCACATGGAGCGATCTGCCTGAAAGAAAATTCGATGAAAGATGGCATGGCTGTAGTAGTAAGCCGTATGATGGTAGAATGTGGAGTAGTTCTTGGTACCAAATACGGTCGAATGCTTTCGAATTATCTGATGCCGCAGCTAGACATACCCAAATTAGGCTTCGGTTGGTGATACTTTCACTAGATATGAAAGATTTTTTTCATGTTCTGGTTCCCACGAAAAGGGATATCCTGTAATGTTCAGAGAATGTCGTGAAAATAAAGAGAAATAAGGTAGGAATTGGTGTTCTTCTTTGATTTCTGGAGGTTATATGCCTCGGAGAACAGCTCCCTTTGCAATGTGTTCCAGAGCCTCGCTGTTCGTTGGATGAACGAGTCTTTGGAAAGAATGTTCTGCAGGCCTCCAAAATGACCACGAAGAGGTGGAAAGCCTCAAGTCGACGGGTTAATCTCCCGGGGACTGCCAAGGGAGGAACAATTGTTGATATTTCAGAAAAGCACCGTCCATGAAAATATCTATAAAATAGAGCCAGATCGACAACTTTTCTACGGTGTTCCAGAGAAGTGCGTGAGTTTGTGAGCGAGGCATCACTCACGAGACGAATTGCCCTTTTTGTACAGAATCCAACATTCCAGGACAGGTCGGATCTGTGCCTTATAGATCATGAGCAGCTGACTGGAAATGAAGTAGCTCCTGGCCCGAAACAAAAAACCAAATTTTTGGGATGTACTTTTTTTAGCAATTGATCTCACGTGATTTTCCCAAGAAAGGTTATTGCTGATAGTAATACCAAGACTATAAGAGGCCAAATAATCTGGCAAATGGGTTGATTTGCTATAGCAGGAAAATCGAACAAATGTCATCTAGTGTGAGGTCCTACCATGGTTATGAACTATGATAATCGTATTGTACCAGATTGTTTTACCTTCCTGGTCCTGGCATAGACCTTTGGGGAATTCCTCGGGGCTGCGGCAATCCCGAAGGTCCGGATTCAGGTGGATTAAAGGGACATTGTTTCACCTCTGTCACTGTTGTGTGGGTTTCTGTCTTGGTGAGATTGGTGCCAGGGATTCTGTATGTTCTTGAGGTGGATGCTGTGACGTTGGTGGGCCGTTGAAAGCCAAATCTGTTTTGGGACATTTTGGGGATTTTGCACGAAAATTTGAGAGGGGTGTTGTAGGGTTATTCGGACAATGGATAAGTCATTTGTGATGGGTGACGATTCGATGTGTCAGTCGAGTTACCTTAGTGGGAGCATCGCATACAGGAGGTTCTAGAATTGTGCTGTATCATCTACCACTTCATAGTCAATTTCGATTCTTGTTGAATATATCAGATTGAAGAAAAAATTTCATGAATTTATTCTCAACCAATTAGAAGGCATCTTTTTGTTCACGTTGCTCATAGCAATGAAAGATTATCGCGATAATTTTGTTTGTGTTTCGTTCCTATAATTATATTAACCTGATGGAATTGAAATCTGATCATTTGTGATGTTATGGTTGAAAACAAATAATTGTTTTTAATGTTCCCGAAATCTTAGCAATAAACCTTAGTTACCAACAAATCAGCTCCTATTTCTTATTGTCAAAATATAATGCGTCATATTTTGACTAAACTCATCGAAAATGAAACTATAATGACATATGATTTCAGATATCAAATTTGATATTTTTCTCACGTTCTTGTTCTCATCATATTGAAAGCAACTCCAGTTTATGAAATCTATAGTGACCTTGAAAAAAATATTTGGTAATAATTCTGCTGCTGAGTTTTCTAAGTGAAAATTTCCTAAATTTTGTTCGAAAATATAAAAGAACAAACAATGAAGAGAAATTGAACAACTTATTTTGAAACATGATTCCAAATTTGATTTTGGTGGGGATTGTCCATTCTAGAAATATTTTTGAATTAGTTAAGAATGTGAGGAATTATTGTAGCAAATTGGTAGTTTATACAGAAAATAATACACTGAAATTCATTCGTGCAATTCGAATAGTCATAGTCTGAAATTTTTCATTAGACACAGAATATTTCTTACAAAATAAACCTAATATATAATTATAACGTTTCATCATGATTCTATCATTGATTTGGAAGAATTTTTTTCATGTTTCGCATTGAAATGTTATTGTTCTGAAAATATTACCGTAGGAATAGGCAAACACAAGTTTCTAATCTATAATTTTACTACTGTTATACATATATCCAATAGTTTTTATAGCGTTCATAGAACGACTTATCAGAACATCGTTTTATTTTAATTGATAGATTTCTAATAGAAATTTGTATAATAATTAGGATTTACTACAGTACATTATTTATTGAACTTGATATAATATGATTATGTATAGATATACGAGTAAATTGACGTAGATATATGACATAGACCTTGTTTGAGTGATACAAACTCAATGGAGGTCAGGTTTTATTAAAATAATAAATTTCATCCATCGAAAATTAAGTACCTACCTATACCGTATGTTCCAGAGCTATCTGGCCAGCAGATATATGGTTATCACGTGAGATCAAATGCTAAAAGCGCATCCCAAAAACTTGGTTTTTTGTTTCGGGCCAGGAGCTATTTCACTTCCAGTCAGCTGCTTATGATCTATAAGGCACAGATCCCACCTGTCCTGGAATACTGTTCCCATATTTGGAGTGCAGCACCCAAACATACCCTGAAACTGTTGGATTCAGTCCAAAAAAGGGCAATTCGTCTCGTGGGTGATGCCACGCTCACAAACTCACTCACTTCTCTGGAACACCGTAGAAAAGTTGGCGATCTCGCTCTATTTTATAGATATTTTCATGAACGATGTTCTCCTGAAATATCAACAATTGTTTTACCCTTGGCAGTCGCCGCAAGATTAACCCGTCGAGTTGAGGCTTCGCACCTCTTCGTGGTCACTTTGGAGACCAGCAGAATATCTCTTCCAAAGACTCGTTCATCCGACGAACAGCGAGGCTCTGGAACACACTGCCAAGGGAGGTGTTCCCCGAGGCATATAACCTCCAGAAATTGAGGAAGAACACCAATTCTCACCTTATTTTCCTTGGTTATCACGATGTCCTCTGAACCTTACAGGATATCCCTTTTCGTGGGAACCAGAACATAAAAAAAATCTAACATTGAAAAAATCACGAAATTGTTCGATCGTGATGTAAAGTCGAATTGAGAATGAGAATTTCTATAATATGAACCGAAAAAAACATGGGAGTTCAATTTGAAAAACCAAATAAAGGGGTTTCTTTTTCGTAGACCGTTCGGCACAAAGGTGAATTTTAGAGAGCCATTGCTCCTATGAATTCAAAAGTTTTTGAATTTTTCGGTATGTAAGATAACCCAGATATCTGCTAGTCAAAAAGGTCAGGAGCAACGAGGCAAGTTGTTAACTGGCTAAGAAATCAAGAATCACAATAATATTATACAGTGTCATTCATAAAGTTGGCATCATATGGGAAAAACTTCCAATAATATTTTATCTTGAAATTCGACTTGGGCGCTAAGTTGTTCATCAGAAGAGATGAAGAATGGCGTACTCAATCTGAGTCACTTGACTTTCGCTACAAGTCAAGAAGGTCCATGTTTTCAAATTAATTGCTGAAAATAGGCTTGTTTGCTCGAATTTCAAAAAAGTGTACAGGGTGGGCCAAATTGGACTCAATGGGAAAATGCGCATATCGATATCTGTCTTATAGATCGGAGTGACAATAAGGTGATGTTTTTCGAAAATGGGCATTTTTGAAAAGTGGCTACAGATATTTTTTTTTAGCAAAATTGTCTGTTCTCATGAAAATAACTGCAAAGCATTGAGTTTGTGATAAAAATTGTTCTCGAGGCACTGAAATCGGTCGTACTATATCTATAGTTCAAAAATATTACTTTTTCTTCTTGAAGGAAATGTTCTATTTTGCAACTAGGTATATGGTGAGTTATTTCAGTTCCTGAGTATCAATTTTCATGACAAACACAATGCTTTGTAAATGTTTTCAGGAAAACGAAGAATTTTTACCAAAAAAAAAAGTTTGCCACTTTTCAAAAATTCATATTTTCGAAAAACACGTTGTTACTGTGAAATAATGAAAGATATCGATATGCGGTTTTCACCTTTAAGTTTTTCATGTGAATTGATCAACATGCACCGACATCAGTTTTTTTTTCTTGTACGAGAATAGGACTTTCCCATTAAAAGTGCCCAATTGGGCCCACCCTGTACAAAGAACAGTTGTTTCTATTTTAATTTTACACATGTGTCTCTCCTTTTATCGCAATTTTCAGTTCTTGATATTTTTTCAATTATTCTTATTGAAACTTCGGTAAAACTGTCCTATACTTTAGTTTGATACGTAAAGTAGAGATGACTTTGGCATCATTTGAGTACTGAAAATATCAATTTAAATAAATTACGCTACTGAATGATATACGATACTTCAATTTTTCATCAGGCATAACAGAAAGTTGAAGCGGGGATTATCATGTTCTGAAGAAAATCATATGTTCATCGATATTTTAATGATTGAAAGTTAGTAGCATGATGAAACAACAAGAATGAAATAGTTTTGTCGCTGTTCATTTTTCCAAATATTACAGATACATTTCGTAGAAATTGGAATATTATCGTAAAAAATTAAAAATTGTTAAAATACATTCAATTTCGACACACATTATGTAAAAGTGCGATAAAAACAATTTTTCTCTGTAAACTTTTTTGAAATTCGGTAATAAAATAATTATTAATTTTCAGAGACTAATTTTTAATAATGTAAGTTTCGATATATAGCAAAAGTCAACGTGACCCCCTCCGAGTAGTCCATTTTTCATATCTTCGAAATAAATTATTATTAAACGTTTTTTCCATATTATGCCGTCTTCATGAATGACACTAGATGGAACACTTTGTATATTTGTTATTATTCAGTTCAGAAGTATATTGAGAGCCAATATGCAACATTTTGGAAGTGAAACATTTTCTCTAAACTTTGCAGGAAGTAATTTCATGCGCTTTCAATCGTTTTCGATATGCTTTCTTCACGTCTAGTTTCCTGTAACAAGATGAGATGAAATCCAAGTAGGTAGCAATCAATCAGCTATTATTATTTCGCAGATGGGCATATGGCTGGCGTTCTTCATTCTTCTAGCGTCAGAACAACAAAAAATTTCCAGCTGATAAACGCATTGGATTTCATTTCCAGCATTCCAGCATAAGTCAAAAATGTGTACCGAGCTTTCTGAAGGTGATAGTACATTAGAAAATAAGTGTAGTTTGATGAATAAACGTATGGCCCAAAATGCATATTATTGGAGATACACCAAAGTTGATAAAATTATTAGTTATTTGTTTAACTATATAGGCAGCAAAGTAGTAGATTGCTCGCTACTACAATCTACTTTGCTGCCGAGTTGAACATATAATTTTTTCTCCGATTGTTTATTATGATATATATCTCTTTATTTTTCCTGTAGTGTTCAATCAAAATAAAATTTGATAGAAATCGCAGTTGTTGGAATGGTTGGTTGCTATGGAAATGTCCATAATAATTATAGTTTGACAATTCATGAAATCTCTGACAGTTGTGCGAAAAAATATCGGTGTATTAAAATTATTAAGTATATATAATGGACAGTGATAGCGACCTGGAAGTACTTAAACCTCCAGAAATGAGGGAGGTGGCAAAAAATATAGAGTTGAATTTGTTGCCGGAGAAGTCTCGGATGAAACATGAAGGAAATTATAAACGATTTATGGATTATTAATTTTGCTGATACATATCAATCAGCAAAGTGAGCACTTTGCTGCCTAGGCAGGAAAAGTAATACTTTGCTGATTCATATATGTCAGCAAAATTAATATATGCTGCCAATCGGAGGAAAAATCATCTCTCCGCATAACTTCCAAACGATGGGCATGAATGTATGTTGTCAAAATACATTTTTTTGTTACACTTCCACATTTCTGATATTGTTATAAATGGTATTTTTTGAAAGGGTGAGTCATAATTTTTTGAAGAAAACTCTATTCCCTGTATTATTTTCGGTGAAAAAACAGAAGCATTTGATACAGCAAAGAAAATCTCTTAAAAAAGGAACTCCTATTCAAATACAAAAAATTGAACCGTTCTCGGGATATTTCAGTTTCTGTATTCACATGATATCCGAGATTCATCCTCAACGATATTTTAGCAGGCTATGATGAGTATCAACATTCGATTCAACATTGTTGTAGTTGATTTGTTG